ACTAAAACATTAGCATATTTGCAGTACAATTTTGCGTACAGGTATACGGACAAGACAAGTGGCGCATCAGCTGCTATAGTGCTAATACTAAATACTATATGATGGTGTTAGGCCTACTTACCAGCATTTGACGAAAACAGGCGCAGATCCAGAGGGGGGAGGGATGTCCATAAGTTGTTATGTTAATGCGCCAAGTTTCATAAATTTTCGTCACTCATTGGCCGAGATCTGAGGGAGGGTGCCCCCGGATGTGACATGGTCAAATAACCATGCTCCTTTAGGGTTAAAGGACCAACATAATTATTTCCATTGGGGTGGGTGACCGGGGGCGACCGGGGTCGACGATTTTTTTTTATGGAGCCCTACGGCCCCCCCCCCCCCCCCCCCCCCCCCCTCCCTCCACCCCTTGGCTACGCCGCTGGTTATTAGGCTCGGTAAATTTGAAATGTAACTAATAGGATCTTGTCGTTTTGAGACATTGAACATTGCACAAGCTGCCTCAACGCCCATAAAGTAAAATGCCCCAAATGGGAGCAGTGATACGGTTGATGGAAGGCAAGCGAAGACAGAATAAAAGTCACCAAAATTATGAATGAAAAAAAATGATAATTGGAGTCATCCTTAAAGCTACTGAATTAATTATTCCAATTTGCTAGCATTATAGTCTCATTCTTGCGTTAAAAGTGACTATCAGGTACCTACCTTATAAATCGTGGTGATCAGTCCGTATAAAGAACCGTTTGCTCTGACGACTCCCAAACTGCACTACGTGCAACAATGCAGGGTACTTTCTTTTAACGTCCTTATGCCTAGAATTTATACGATTCTATATGACGTCATCGCAAGTTCACTATGTGGAATTTTACAAATTATAGTATCCAAATTGGGTGATTATTAACCTGTGTTTCTTTTTTTTAATTATTGAATGGCCAAGGCATGGTCCAATATCGGTATAAACAAGAATAAAAAAGGTTCAACTTCAATGCCTTACCGGGCAACAACCAAAAGGAAAACGGAACCACGAGTTACTTTTAAGACTTGGCGTTTGATGCTAATCAGTGACCTAGTTGCCCGTACCCCTAAAAGTTCAATCTTCTTGACTTTCCACCTCCTATGACTACAATGTTAGTGGACGAAAATTAAGAAGATTGAACTTTGAACTTTGATTAGTGCACTAATCAAACAAACTAAAGCATTCAGTCCCGTGATAGTGACCGAGATTTTAGTCAACTTTCCAGTTTCTTTACGTGACCGTCAATACAGGTGTATGACAGTGGATACGATGACCGTTAACAACCAGGGAGTTATTAGTCATTTGCGAGGCAACTAGATGAGATTCGTTATTCTAGCCTTGGAACTTATTTGTACCCTAAGCCGATTTTTGTGAAACGTTTGTTTGAGAAAGGAACATACTCATTGCTTATCTCATGCTAAAATTATTATCAATTCAAATTTGAAAATTGATTCCTCAGGATGCCACATCTTCAACTTTAATAAAAATAATTTTTTTTAAAAAAGCCTAATAGGAGAAGTGCACACGGATGTTTTACTTTTTGCCTGCAGTCAACATACCGACTTTGGTTTTCCTCACCACGCTACAAGCACACTTCACAAAATCCGAGGGCGACTTTAAAGGGTCCATAAGGTACAACTTTCTACTCCTCTTAAATATAAGAAAACTATTTGTTCTTCCCGTTTGCTTAACTTTAATGAAAAGAGCACGGCTTTAAACTCTAAATATCTTCCATGCTTATCCAGAAAACTGAGGGCGCTGTCGCTGTGATGTCATTTCAGGAATATACTGTTCATTTTAGGGTGCTCAAATTGTGTTTAGGGTGCTCAAATTGTGAACCCAACCTTATAAATCGTGGTGATCAGTCCGTATAAAGAACCGTTTGCTCTGACGACTCCCAAACTGCACTACGTGCAACAATGCAGGGTACTTTCTTTTGACGTCCTTATGCCTAGAATTTATACGATTCTATACGACGTCATCGCGGGTTCACTATGTGGAATTTTACAAATTATATTATCAAAATTGGGTTATTATCAACCTGTGTTTCTTTTTTTTTTTATTATTGAATGGCCAGGGCATGGTCCAATATCGGTATAAACAAGAATAGAAAAGGGTCAACTTCAATGCCTTACCGGGCAACAACCAAAAGAAAAACGGAACCATGAGTTACTTTTAAGACTTGGCGTTTGATGCTAATCAGTGACCTAGTTGCCCGAACCCCTAAAAGTTCAATCTTCTTGACTTTCGACCTCCTATGACCACAATGCAAGCTTGCATTGTGGTCATAGGAGGTCGAAAGTCAAGAAGATTGAACTTTGAACTTTGATTAGTGCACTAATCAAACAAACTAAAGCATTCAGTCCCGTGATAGTGGCCGAGATTTTAGTCAACTTTCCAGTTTCTTTACGTGACCGTCAATACAGGTGTATGACAGTGGATACGATGACCGTTAACAACCAGGGAGTTATTAGTCATTTGCGAGGCAAATAGATGAGATTCGTTACTCTAGCCTTGGAACTTATTTGTACCCTAAGCCGATTTTTGTGAAACGTTTGTTTGAGAAAGGAATATACTCATTGCTTATCTCATGCTAAAATTATTATCAATTCAAATTTGAAAATTGATTCCTCAGGATGCCACATCTTCAACTTTAATACAAATAAAAAAATATATAAAAAAAGCCTAATAGGAGAAGTGCACACGGATGTTTTACTTTTTGCCTGCAGTCAACATACCGACTTTGGTTTTCCTCACAACGCTACAAGCACACTTCCACAAAATCCGAGGGCGACTTTAAAGGGTCCATAAGGTACAACTTTCTACTCCTCTTAAATGTAAGAAAACTATTTGTTCTTCCCGTTTGCTTAATTTTATTGAAAAGAGCACGGCTTTCAACTTTAAATATTTTCCATGCTTATCCAGACAACTGAGGGCGCTGTCGCTGTGATGTCATTTCAGGAAGATACTGTTCAATTTATGGTGCTCAAATTGTGAACCCAACAATTTGTTCGTTGAACACATTTGAGAAAAGTTTGCTCATTAACTGGCACAACAACGAATCACCAACGAAAAGAAAATGTACAACAAAATGTTCTAAAGTCTGTTACACTTTTGGTGCAAATAGATGTGTAACATTGAGGTTTCTCCCTACAATGACATCACACACAAAATATACTGTGAATACACATTACACTTGGTTGGAAAAATTAAAATCAATATTATGAGCATCAGTATTCCACGGATTTTAACGTTTATACTTCGTTTCTTTATCCGTATCTGCATCTGTTAGCTTCTGTACAAACGCCAGGTGTGGCTATCCCCCCATACCGTTTTGTTACATTCATTATCAAAATAATTACATTAAAAGTTAAATTTTAACTGGTCAATTGAAACAAGTTGCGTTTTGCTTCAACTCCGCAGACGTCGTTGCTTTTGGTAGAGCGTAATTTAGTCCCCGAGCGTCGGGTCTGGTTATGTGTTACGTGTTCGGATTAATGGATGGAATGCATCAATCGGGCATAAGCTGTGATGACGTAACGACGGAGGCGGAGTCACTTGGAACCGTCCACTTTTTGGTGGGTACTAGAGTGGCATTGTTGTGTTCGGGAACGTTCAATCTGCTCAGTTTCTGTAGCAGAAAAGCAGATGGCCACTTTTGAACCACCGTGACAAAACTTTCGATCTGCTTTCTGATAGCAGAAAGCAGAAAAGTAGAAAAATGCATTTCAACAACACGTTCAATCTGCTTTTCTGCTATCCTGTTAGCAGAAAAACAGATGTCCACTTTTGAACCTCCATAATTTTTCGAACATCCCAACAACCAAAATGTATTCAATGGCACTGAATAGTGGAAACATGTAATTCCGTGATGAGCTACTCGTGGAAACGTGGAATTATGTGATAGGCTAACGATATCATGGCATTTCGCTTTGCCACGATAAAACATCACGGAATTCCAGGTTGCTGAGATACCCTATCGCGGTATTCCACGTTTTTGTGATAGGCTATCACAGTATTCTGCGTTTCCACGATAGCATATCACGGAATTCTACTTATTCGTGATAGCATATCCACGTTTCCATGATCCGATGAGGCTTTCATGGAATTCAGCGAGTTTCATGATGGGCTGCATTCCGAGTTGTAAAGATATTTTATGATGGAACTTTATGTTTCCAAGATATTTTATCTCAGTAACGCAGTAACTCGAATGGTCCTATACGTTTCCGTAGTTACATTCAAATTGATTCCCCGATGATCGGTTATTTAATGTCTAGGGCGCCCTCTACGGCGATGTCCTGTAAAGGCTATAACATATGTAACGGCCAGTAACATGGCACAACTTCTAATCTGCAGTTTGCATGGCTGACCATTCTGATAATTTCAAATTAGGTAGGCGCCAAATACCACGTGACTGACCAAAACGGGCAGGAATCCTTTGGTTGGCACTCGGATATGTTCGCGGTAGCAGGGTGTTTTGTGGATCATCAGTCCTCGAAATGCTTCAACGCTAACCTTGCAATCCGATTTAAGGCATAATGCTAAGTTTATAAAGCGTTGGTCCTCTAACTTTAGTATGTACTGATCGGACTGCGTCATGGTCCATTTTGTGAATGTGACCTCCAATATAAATTATAAATAAACATTATGGGATCGTGTGGTCACGGAACAAAACTGGCGACAACCGTATATATACATCCGTGAATGTTGTCTGGACTGGATGATCTTGCAGTTGGGGTTAAAGAGTATCCTGAAGCCAATTCTGAGACGGAGTAGAGCTTTTAGACCCCCCCCCCCCCCCCCCCCACACACACACACACACACACAGATTCCCGGAATTATAGTTAGATTGAAAACTCCATAGCGTTTCCTGTATTGGGAAGGTATTTTTCTAAAGACTTCCTTATGGGATACATTGTTCTATTGTGTTTTCTACCCCTAAGAAACCATGTCCGTGAACACACATAATTTAGGCCTGCAGCCACCATCAGATTTTACATTTTTCTCTCATTTTATTTTCAACCAATAATTATTTTAGATAATGTTGAACATGACAAAGTGCTCCGTGTAGTGGTCTTTTCTTTATCTGCTCCTTATGGTATTTTCTTTTCATCTTTCTATAAGTTTATCTATCATCACTCAGGTTTTCGTTCTATTGTAATCCAGAGTTATCGACTGTTTTCAGAGAACTTATGAAAGCTCTCAGATGTTGTATTGTTGCTGTAAATATATAAATATGAAGAACTTAACTATCATATCATTTCTATACGCTATTTCCAAGACGTCATAGTAAATACCTCAGTCTTGACTGAATAAACTATCAGATCATTTATATACGCTATTTCCAAGACTTCTTAGTACATTGTATAAACCTCAGGCTCAGTCTTGACTCAAGAACTATCATACTATTTATATACGCTATTTCCAAGACTTCATAGTATAGACCTCAGTCTTGACTCAATGAACTAACAGGTCATGTTACAAACATTAACCCAAAAAAACGCCATTTCTGAATATGATTTCGCAGTCTGTTTTTATCTTTATCAAAACTACGTGCTTAATTAACTATGAAACTGAATTAAAGCCATGTTGGTATTCCCACTGCGCATGCGCATAACAAAATATGGCAGTCGTGATGGAAAACAGTTCGCCACAGCTTTGTTCGTAATCATCGCGGAAACATGGAAGACTCGATGGAAGACGCTCACAGAAAAATACACAATTAAAAATTAAGAATTAAAATAAAACATTTCAAATTAAAAATTATAGAAATTACAAAATTGTAATCCCGCAGTATAATACGGAGCCCATAAAGGTCCTTTCAACAACATTTTCATTTCGTGCGCACGAAACATCTAATGACTTATCGGTGCGCACATCACGAGCTTATTTCGTGCGCACGAGATATATCTCGTGCGCGCGAAATACTTATTTTGTGCGCACGAGATATAACGAAATATTGAATGTCACTTTAGGGGTTCCGTAGCAGCAGGCCAAATTGGAAAGAAACCCCATTTTTATGGGGTAACAAATATGGCGGATAATTATTTCACGGAACAGTCGTATTGTCAACAAGTCCGGTCAATATTGAGTTCAACGGTACATGCGGGGATAATATAGTTTACAGTGTAAACAGCATTGCCATGAAGATAATGGCAACGGTAGTGATGATGTTGACGGTCACCGACCCAGCTCCGTTGCACGTGCACGGTGGAGCTGTAGCTATAGGAGGTGTATTAGGTATAGGAGGTGTATTAGGTATAGGAGTTGTATTAGGTATAGGAGTTGTAGGAGCTGCTACAGGTCCATCGTTGCACAGGTTCCCACTGCAGCAGCAGGCTGTAATAGACATCCGGCCAATAGTGCCGGCGACGCAACCACCTATCTTGAAACAATGGTCAGTCTGGGAACAACTCCTCATTGTAACCGCATCCGACTCACCAATGACTTGCAACATGCTCTGTATGAAGTAACAGCAGTAATGTTTTGTCAAGCCCAATATTTTCCATTATCACGGCTGTGATTTATGTCCGATGCAACCTCGTCCCCAGGGTGTCGAGCAGTACGCGCCCACCACTACCTGCTCTCTCACCCTGGTATTGGATCATTTGCATGTGCAAGATTTTTGCACACGTATGCAAATGAGGAACAGTCTGGTGCCTGGATATGCGTTACACATTAGCGTTTGTTTTTGTATGCGGTGTTTGGGGTAAAAACAGAGTCAATTCGTAGCAGCGCGAGCACGGCGTGAGTTACGAAAACACGATTTTTGAAATCAAACTGTTACGATCTTATCGAGACAACATGCAGTATCATATTTCATATTAACATGAGCAAATTGGAAAGGAAATTAGTATTTTCGAGAAGGCGTGGACGAATGATCGCGAAAACACGTACTGCACGTTGTGAATATATAGCACCAAGTACACGATAAAAATCCATTACTAGCCAATTGCGGTATCCAATCAGGATACAGGAAGAAAGTTTCCTATCCAGGGTTTACTATTGGAAACGCGGTTGGAAATAATGTAAGCACTGGGGACGAGGTTGTGTCCGATGTGCTTGCACAGTACAGAAGTCCGACATGCGTGCACGCGCGTATGATGCGCGCGGCAGGAAAATGCAGCGTTGCATTGCAAAGGAGCACGTGTTAATTTGCCCAGACAGAGAACAGTGGAGAACACTTACAGAGTGCGCGATGTCAGATCAACTTGACGCAAGCGCCTAGATGATGAGTGGGCGGGGCTAAGTGGATCGGTCCATTCACCTCTCGGTATAGGGATTTTACACACACCCAAACTATTCCATCAAAAAATTCTATGAAGTTATTTTTCGATTGTAAAAAAAAATCCCTTGTGTACTTAGCATGATTGAGGTAGATTAAAACAGAATAACCTGCACAACTTTTTCACCCAGATTGTGAGTGAAACAGCCCTTTTTAAGCTCAAAAATTTACGTCCTGTATGTAAATGTATGCACTGTACTAAGCGCGTATTTGCATTGAACGCGCGTAAAGCGGATACGCGCGCTGTCAACAAGCGTTTTGCCCATTCTTTTTTTCAAATCACGGTTTTACGCGCACGACTGGCGTTCTATGCGTTTATATGTCTGTGGTTCTCCCCCTTGGTGCGCCCCCAACAGTTACGCCACAGCAGCCGGCACTTCGCTCGTACCCCCCCCCCCCCCCCGCCCTGCAAACAGGACGCTGGGATACTCTGATGAGCTTCACAGAATCTTGTGAAGGAAGTGGCCTATGACCTATGTATAAAGCATCTGGCTGCAGCTGTTCAAGACCGCAGTTACACAATGTGCGCAAATGCTATCCGAAAACTTCCTATAGAAATGCGCACATTCCATACCGGATGTGATTTCTGTTTCATTGCGGACCATGTGGACAAAATTTTAACGGCATCGCAGAATGCAATCCGACTGTTCGTGATTCAAAATCGGAGCCTGAGCAAGTTACGGGAATTGTAAATTTACAACACAGATAGGTTTTACAGAATTTCCTACATTATTACGCTTTTCAACGAGAAAAAAACCCATCTCTAAACTGGAATAAAAGAGTAATGAATCAGTCTTAATGGCCGTTTCAAACCTTGCAGAGTCATGACCTTGATGACGCGTAGGTCACTGGTCACACAAAATCCAACCAATCAGAGCGTGAATTTATCAGAGTATCCCAGCGTCCTGTTTGCAGGGCAGGGGGTATGAGCAAAAGCCGGCCCCAGCAAGTTCGTTGGTCGAGTGGTGAGCCTTCACTTAAAGCGATTGTGGGTTCGAGTCTCGCGGCTGGTTCGTTCTCGGCGCGAAAGCAAACGCGATTGCGAATTTGTGATGTTACGGCGCAAATTGTGACAAAGTTGCGTTCGCTTTCAGTCCGAATATATTATGTCACAGGCGTAAAAAGAATTCTTTTTAGATTCACCTTGCAAAGCTTTATTTCTTATTCAAACCAAATTCTTGAATATTCATTTTCATTAACCAATCACTTTGGCCGTTACCACAATAGAGATTCGGAATACGGGGCGCAGCCCGTGTTAGCGTCATTCCAATTAACCGGAGCCGAGGGAACACCTTGTCTAATCGAGTTACCCTTTCCCGTATTTCCATCTTTCAGTGAGAATAAATCACCACAGAACTGAGAAGCCGAGTCCTCTTTCCATTTATAACTGACTCGAATAAAACCAAGGGTCACATAATGGCTTAACTCCGGTGAATTTGGCATTTGCATGAAGTATTAACCGAATAACCGGCCTTTAAGCCAAAAAAGTCTCCGGTTTCTGGTATGGAGCTTACCCCTTTGGCGGTTTTGAGACATCATCTTTCATTGAAAAAAAAAAACTTCTTCATTTTGCGCGCGCATACCAAAAACCGGAGACTTTTTTTTTTTGGCCTTAATAGCTGGAATTTTTTGTCTCGCAAGCCTTCGGACATTAGTGAGAGTTTAAAATGTTTATAAAACACTTCGTCGGTTGAATGGCAAAAACCAAAACCAACATTTTATTATGATAGGAGGGATTTTAACTAGATATCGTCGTCTTTCAAGGTATTCGAAGTAAACCAAGGACACATCGACCTGCACTGCAATATTGATTGGTTTGAGTTACTTCCAACTTTAAGAGCTACACTCACAGTGCAAGAAAAACCCGCATCAGCTCCGCAGTCAGTCTCCTCAACGTTAGGACCTGTCGCGTTGAACGGATCGTGGCAGGCATTGGTTTCACCGGGGGCACCATTCCCTGAGTGACAGTTGTAACACTTGATACCCACGATACCAGCTGTGGTCCAAAACAAACCGAAGAATTCCCGTCACATTTTGAAAACGAAATGGCTTGATTCGTGATGTGGTAATTTTGAGGCCCACTTCGAAAACCCCGCAAGCTCTAACCTTACAAACTCTTTGTGGACATGTGAACAATTTTTTTAAGAGGTCCGCAAGATGCAGGAAGCGTGAACGTTTTGTGGACTTGCACACGTTCACACTAAGTTCCCCTCTCTGGAAAACAGTTTTAGAGGAATTTAGCATTAGAGTTGAAAGAGTGATCACAGTGGGAGTATTAAAATGAGGCTTTTTTTTCTCCGGATTTTCTTTAACTACACGAATATACAGTAGGTATGTAAGGTAAGGCTGCATGGGCGCGCTCAGGCAACCATTCAAATCGTGGACGAAAAATACCGGAGAACAAAAGATAACAATATCGTCCTCGATTCCCAGCATATTTCCACGATTGAGATCGTGCATAAAAAACATATGGAGTTTTTCTGAAATTTTTTTTTGAGTACAAGCAAAAGAGGAACAATAGGACGTCCACGATGGGCACGATTTGCGTGGACAGGACTGTATACGAGTGTGTGCGTGTTATCGACCAGTGTAACGGAACCATTTCAACAATAATAGTCGAAACACTGATTGCTATTTTTTTACGGAAGCCCGTTAGGGCCAGGTACCTCTTTCTCTTTCCCAGCGGTGCATTTCTCTTTCGCGGTAGTGCGTTTATCTTTCATGGTAGCTGGCCTCGCTTTCATAGCGTGTGTCTCTCTCATTCACGGTAGCTATAGCCTCTCTTTCAGAACGTGTGTGTCTCTCTTTCTAGGGGGCAAGTCCATTTTTCACAGGGGTGTCTCCCTGAGTGTGATTATCAGTCGCGGCCGCCACTTAATCACACTTATAGAGAGAAGTACACCCCTGTGAAAAATGGACTTGCCCCCTAGAAAGAGAGAAAGACACACGTTCTGAAAATAGAGGCAAGATACATGTACCATGAAAGAAAAATGCACCAACGCGAAAGAGAAACCCACCGATGTGAAAGAGAAAGAGGTACCTGGCCCTAACAGGCTTCCGTAATTTTTCTAGTTCACGAGACCTTGGTGGAATTGCAGTCGTTCTATTAAAAAAAAAACACTGATCATTGTGTTAGCTTCCGATTACATTTAGTTTGTCTGGTTATTACTTGCACTCAGCTAACCCCAAATGTCATGTCTGTTTTTTTTTTTAAGAGTGCATGTCCAGTTGTTGCGGGTATTTTAAACCAGTTTCTAGCGTTCTTTCTTAGGCTGGCTTCATTTTACTGTGTCCATACTTTGAGTTACATTTTCTGTAGTGCCTGCAAATTAGTATCAACTTTAAACTAAGGGTCCATGAACTTCCTTGTGCTTTAAGAATATACAAATTGAAATGAATAAGACATTTACCGATGGAGGTCAGAAAGATGGCGGCTGTGAGAAGCTTCATGGTGGATCACAGGTAGACTTGCACACGGCTAGACACAGCAGTAAACCTGCATAGTATCAACGAGCATGAATATAGGAGAGCAGTTGTCAGAGACATTTTGTTAATTACATGTATGTAAAAACCCCGGTGGTTAACCATGGACACTATAAGCACTTGTAAGTTAATGCCCTCTCTTGAATTTTTGATTTTGAGGCGGCCAGGAGACCGGGCAAAAAAAGATGGCTACCCCCCCCCCACCCATTACAATTGTATGGCGAGCCCTTGAGAGAACTTTCTAAGGGAGAACAATGCGTGACCAAAGTGTGGTGTTCTAAAACGGACATGCAAACGTCGTACTTCAACTTCCAAACGTCGTGGTTCAACTTTTCAAGCGTCGTACTTCAATTTTGCAAACGTATACATGTACTTTGTGGTTCAACTTTCCGTTGAGATGTTTTCTCTGTAGCAAAGTACAATGTACATGACCTACGGCGTACCTTTCTACCTTTCAACATAGGCACATGTACACGCCCACACAGTACAAGTACATACGGCGGTTAGCTGTATCGCATCGTGGGCTTACCCTTTTCGTCAATTGGTGGTAAATAGGCCATTAACACCATTGTACAGTTCTAAAAGTTTTGTAAAATTATAATGCACTTTTACGAAAACATTATCATATTTGCAGTACAATTTTGCGTACAGGTATACGGACAAGACAAGTGGCGCATCAGCTGCTATAGTGCTAATACTAAATACTATATGATGGTGCTAGGCCTGCTTACCAGCATTTGACGAAAACAGGCGCGGATCCAGAGAGGGGAGGGATGTCCATAAGTTGTTATGTTAATGCACCAAGTTTCATAAATGTTCGCCACTCAATGGCTGAGATCTGAGGAGGGTGCCCCGGATGTGACATGGTCAAAATAACCATGCTCCTTTAGGGTTAAAGGACCAACATAATTATTTCCATTGGGGTTGGTGACCGGGGGTGACCGGGGGCGACGATTTTTTTATGGAGCCCTACGCCCCCCCCCCCCCCTCCCTCCCTCCGCCCCTTGGCTACGCCGCTGGTTATTAGGCTCGGTAAATTTGAAATGTAACTAATAGGATCTTGTCGTTTTGAGACATTGAACATTGCACAAGCTGCCTCAAAGCCCATACAGTAAAATGCCCCAAATGGGAGCAGTGATACGGTTGATGGAAGGCAAGCGAAGACAGAATAAAAGTCACCAAAATTATGGAAAAAATGATAATTGGAGTCATCCTTAATGCTACTGAATTAATTATTCCAATTTGCTAGCATTATAGTCTCATTCTTGCGTTACAGGTGACTATCAGGTACCTACCTTATAAATCGTGGCGATCAGTCCGTATAAAGAACCGTTTGCTCTGACGACTCCCAAACTGCACTACGTGCAACAATGCAGGGTACTTTCTTTTAACGTCCTTATGCCTAGAATTTATACGATTCTATATGACGTCATCGCGAGTTCACTATGTGGAATTTTACAAATTATATTATCAAAATTGGGTGATTATTAACCTGTGTTTCTTTTCTTTTTTTATTGAATGGCCAGGGCATGGTCCAATATCGGTATAAACAAGAATAGAAAAGGGTCAACTTCAATGCCTTACAGGGCAACAACCAAAAGGCAAACGGAACCACGAGTTACTTTTAAGACTTGGCGTTTGATGCTAATCAGTGACCTAGTTGCCCGTACCCCTAAAAGTTCAATCTTCTTGACTTTCGACCTCCTTTGACCACAATGTTAGTGGTCGAAAGTTAAGAAGATTGAACTTTGAACTTTGATTAGTGCACTCATCAAACAAACTAAAGCATTCAGTCCCGTGATAGTGACCGAGATTTTAGTCAACTTTCCAGTTTCTTTACGTGACCGTCAATACAGGTGTATGACAGTGGATACGATGACCGTTAACAACCAGGGAGTTATTAGTCATTGTTGCGTCATTTGCGAGGCAAATAGATGAGATTCGTTATTCCAGCCTTGGAACTTATTTGTACCCTAAGCCGATTTTTGTGAAACGTTTGTTTGAGAAAGGAACATACTCATTGCTTATCTCATGCTAAAATTATTATCAATTCAAATTTGAAAATTGATTCCTCAGGATGCCACATTTTCAACTTTAATAAAAATATAAAAAATTAAAAAAGCCTAATAGGAGAAGTGCACACGGATGTTTTACTTTTTGCCTGCAGTCAACATACCGACTTTGGTTTTCCTCACCACGCTACAAGCACACTTCCACAAAATCCGAGGGCGACTTTAAAGGGTCCATAAGGTACAACTTTCTACTCCTCTTAAATGTAAGAAAACTATTTGTTCTTCCCGTTTGCTTAACTTTAATGAAAAGAGCACGGCTTTAAACTCTAAATATCTTCCATGCTTATCCAGAAAACTGAGGGCGCTGTCGCTGTGATGTCATTTCAGGAAGATACTGTTCATTTTAGGGTGCTCAAATTGTGTTTAGGGTGCTCAAATTGTGAACCCAACCTTATAAATCGTGGTGATCAGTCCGTATAAAGAACCGTTTGCTCTGACGACTCCCAAACTGTACTACGTGCAACAATGCAGGGTACGTTCTTTTAACGTCCTTATGCCTAGAATTTATACGATTCTATATGACGTCATCGCGGGTTCACTATGTGGAATTCTACAAATTATATTATCCAACTTGGGTAATTATCAACCTGTGTTTCTTTTTTTATTATTGAATGGCCAGGGCATGGTCCAATATCGGTATAAACAAGAATAGAAAAGGGTCAATTTCAATGCCTTACCGGGCAACAACCAAAAGAAACACGGAACCATGAGTTACTTTTAAGACTTGGCGTTTGATGCTAATCAGTGACCTAGTTGCCCGAACCCCTAAAAGTTCAATCTTCTTGACTTTCGACCTCCTATGACCACAATGCAAGCTTGCATTGTGGTCATAGGAGGTCGAAAGTCAAGAAGATTGATCTTTGAACTTTGATTAGTGCACTAATCAAACAAACTAAAGCCTTCAGTCCCGTGATAGTGACCGAGATTTTAGTCAACTTTCCAGTTTCTTTACGTGACCGTCAATACAGGTGTATGACAGTGGATACGATGACCGTTAACAACCAGGGAGTTATTAGTCATTGTTGCGTCATTTGCGAGGCAAATAGATGAGATTCGTTATTCTAGCCTTGGAACTTATTTGTACCCTAAGCCGATTTTTGTGAAACGTTTGTTTGAGAAAGGAATATACTCATTGCTTATCTCATGCTAAAATTATTATCAATTCAAATTTGAAAATTGATTCCTCAGGATGCCACATCCTCAACTTTAATACAAATAAAAAAATATATAAAAAAAAAAGCCTAATAGGAGAAGTGCACACGGATGTTTTACTTTTTGCCTGCAGTCAACATACCGACTTTGGTTTTCCTCACAACGCTACAAGCACACTTCCACAAAATCCGAGGGCGACTTTAAAGGGGCCATAAGGTGCAACTTTCTACTCCTCTTAAATGTAAGAAAACTATTTGTTCTTCCCGTTTGCTTAATTTTATTGAAAAGAGCACGGCTTTAAACTTTAAATATTTTCCATGCTTATCCAGACAACTGAGGGCGCTGTCGCTGTGATGTCATTTCAGGAAGATACTGTTCAACTTATGGTGTTCAAATTGTGAACCCAACAATTTGTTCATCGAAAACATTTGAGAAAAGTTTGCTCATTAACTGGCACAACCAGGCGCGGTTCTAGAACCAATATTTTTTTTTGGGGGGGGGGGGCTAGCACGGTTGATCCAGAATTTTTCAGGGAGGCGTGCCGAAATGTAGACCGGTTATTTTTTCCAGACACTTAGGCCTCCGAAAATTCAATGGGGAGCGCCAATAAAATCCTAAATTCATTCACACTATATTAATTAACTAATGCACCCTTGTCACGGCTATTTCTTCTTTAGGGGGAGACCGTTTGCATGTACATCACAATCCTTCTTTTTGCTAATGCAATCTTTTTTTTACGGAATTGATTTTGGGGGGCTAGACAAAATTTTGGGGGGCTACAGCCCCCCCCCCTTCCCCGTAGAACCGCGCCTGGGCACAACAACGAATCACCAACGAAAAGAAAATGTACAACAAAATGTTCTGAAGTCTGTTACACTTTTGGTGCAAATAGCTGTGTAACATTGAGGTTTCTCCCTACAATGACATCACACACAAAATATACTGTGAATACAGATTACACTTGGTGGTAAAAAATGAAATCAATATTATGAGCATCAGTATTCCTCGGATTGTAACGTTTATACTTTGTTTCTTTATCCGTATCTGCATCTGTTAGCTTCTGTACAAACGCCAGGTGTGGCTATCCCCCCATACCGTTTTGTTAGATTCATTATCAAAATAATTACATTAATAGTTAGATTTTAACTGGTCAATTGAAACAAGTTGCGTTTTGCTTCAACTCCGCAGACGTCATTGCTTTTGGTAGGGGGTAATTTAGTCCCCGAGCGTCGGGTCTGGTTAGGTGTTACGTGTTCGGATTAATGGATGGGAATGCATCAATCGGGCATAAGCTTTGATGACGTAACGACGGAGGCGGAGTCACTTGGAACCGTCCACTTTTTGGTGGGTACTAGAGTGGCGTTGTTGTGTTCGGGAACGTTCAATCTGCTCAGTTTCTATTGTGTTTTCTACCCCTAAGAAACCCTGTCCGTGTACACACATAATTTAGGCCTGCAGCCACTATCAGATTTTTACATTTTTCTATCATTTTATTTTCAACCAATAATTATTTTAGATAATGTTGAACATGACAAAGTGCTCCGTGTAGTGGTCTTTTCTTTATCTGCTCCTTATGGTATTTTCTTTTCATCTTTTTATAAGTTTATCATCACTCAGGTTTTCGTTCTATTTTAATCCAGAGTTATCGACTGTTTTTAGAGAACTTATGAAAGCTCTCAGATGTTGTATTGTTGCTGTAAATATTTAAATACTAAGAACTTAACTATCATATCATTTCTATACGCTATTTCCAAGACGTCATAGTAAATACCTCAGTCTTGACTGAATAAACTATCAGATCATTTACATACGCTATTTCCAAGACTTCTTAGTACATTGTATAAACCTCAGGCTCAGTCTTGACTCAAGAACTATCATACTATTTATATACGCTATTTCTAAGACTTCATAGTATAAATCTCAGTCTTGACTCAATGAACTAACAGGTCATGTTACAAACATTAACCCAAAAAAACGCCATTTCTGAATATGATTTCGCAGTCTGTTTTTATCTTTATCAAAACTACGTGCTTAATTAACTATGAAACTGAATTAAAGCCATGTTGGTATTCCCACTGCGCATGCGCATATCAAAATATGGCAGTCGTGATGGAAAACAGTTCGCCACAGCTTTGTTCGTAATCATCGCGGAAACATGGAAGACTCGATGGAAGACGCTCACGGGAAAATACACAATTAAAAATTAAGAATTAAAATAAAACATTTCAAATTAAAAATTATAGAAATTACAAAATTGTAATCCCGCAGTATAATACGGAGCCCATGAAGGTCCTTTCAATAACATTTTCATTTCGTGCGCACGAAATATCTAATGACTTATCGGTGCGCACATCACGAGCTTATTTCGTGCGCACGAGATATATCTCGTGCGCGCGAAATACTTATTTTGTGCGCACGAGATATAACGAAATATTGAATGTCACTTTAGGGGTTCCGTAGCAGCAGGCCACATTGGAAAGAAACCCCATTTTTATGGGGTAACAAATATGGCGGATAATTATTTCACGGAACAGTCGTATTGTCAACAAGTCCGGTCAATATTGAGTTCAACGGTACATGCGGGGATAATATAGTTTACAGTGTAAACAGCATTGCCATGAAGATAATGGCAACGGTAGTGATGATGTTGACGGTCACCGACCCAGCTCCGTTGCACGGTGGAGCTGTAGGTATAGGAGGTGTACTAGGTATAGGAGTTGTAGGAGCTGCTATAGGTCCATCGTTGCACAGGTCCCCAGTGCAGCAGCAGGCTGTAACAGACATCCGGCCAATAGTGCCGGCGACGCAACCACCTATCTTGAAACAATGGTCAGTCCGGGAACAACTCCTTGTAACCACATCCGACTCACCAATGACTTGCCACAGGTTCTGTATGAAGTAACAGCAGTAAATGTTTTGTCAAGCCCAATATTTTCCATTATAACACTACCACAACACAAGTACGTTGTGCCGATGTAGTCAACGTGCGAGTACGGTGAACATCTCAATTTGTTCAACACGATAGAAATCGTGACGTCACTTTGAGGTCGCCGGGTCGTTTTGGGCAATTGTTCTTCCCTGTGGTGCGCCCCCAACAGTTACGCCACAGCAGCCGGCACTTCGCTCGTACCCCCCCCCCCCCCCCCCGCCCTGCAAACAGGACGCTGGGATACTCTGATGAGCTTCACAGAATCTTGTGAAGGAAGTGGCCTATGACCTATGTATAAAGCATCTGGCTGCAGCTGTTCAAGACCGCAGTTACACAATGTGCGCAAATGCTATCCGAAAACTTCCTATAGAAATGCGCACATTCCATACCGGATGTGATTTCTGTTTCATTGCGGACCATGTGGACAAAATTTTAATCGTGATTCAAAATCGGAGCCTGAGTAAATTAGTGACGGGAATTGTAAATTTACAACACATATAGGTTTTACAGAATTTCCTACATTATTACGCTTTTCAACGAGAAAAAAACATCTCTAAACTGGAATAAAAGAGTAATGAATCAGTCTTAATGGCCGTTTCAAACCTTGCAGAGTCATGACCTTGATGACGCGCAGGTCACTGGTCACGCAAAATCCAACCAATCAGAGCGTGGATTTATCAGAGTATCCCAGCGTCCTGTTTGCAGGGCGGGGGGTATGAGCGAAAGCCGGCCCCAGCAAGTTCGTTGGTGGAGTGGTGAGAGCCTTCACTTAAAGCGGTTGTGGGTTCGAGTCTCGCGGCTGGTTCGTTCTCGGTGCGAAAGCAAACGCGATTGCGAATTTGTGATGTCACGGCGCAAATTGTGACAAATTTGCATTGCTTTCGCTCCGAATATATTATGTCATAGGCGTAAAAAGTATTCTTTTTAGATTCACCTTGCAAAACTTTATTTCTTATTCAAACCAACTTCTGGAATATTCATTTTCATTGACCAATCACTTTGGCCGTTACCACAATAGAGATTCGGAATACGGGGCGCAGCCCGTGTTAGCGTCATTCCAATTAACCGGAGCCGAGGGAACACCTTGTCTAATCGAGTTACCCTTTCCTGTATTTCCATCTTTCAGTGAGAATAAATCACCACAGAACTGAGAAGCCAAGTCCCCTTTCCATTTATAACTGACTCGAATAAAACCAAGGGTCGCATATAATGGCTTAACTCCGGTGAATTTGGCATTTGCATGAAGTATTAACCGAAAAACCGGCCTTTAAGCCAAAAAAAGTCTCCGGTTTCTGGTATGGAGCTTACCCCTTTGGCGGTTTTGAGACATCATCTTTCATTGAAAAAAAACTTTCATTTTGCGCGCGCATACCAGAAACCGGAGACTTTTTGGCCTTAGCGGGAATTTTTTGTCTCGCAAGCCTTCGGACATTAGTGAGAGTTTACAATGTTTATAAAACATTCGTCGGTCGAAGGGCAAAAACCAAAACCAACATTTCATTATGATAGGAGGGATTTTAACTAGATATCGTCGTCTTTCAAGGTATTCGAAGTAAACCGAGGACGCATCGACCTGCACTGCAATATTGATTGGTTTGAGTTACTTCCAACATTAAGAGCTACACTCACAATGCAAGAAAAATCCGCATCAGCTCCGCAGTCAGTCTCCCGAACGTCAGGATCTGTCGCGTCCAACGGATCGCGGCAGGCATTGGTTTCATCGGGGGCACTAGTCCCTGAGTTACAGGTGTAACACTTGATACTCACGATACCAGCTGTGGTCCAAAACAAACCGAAGAATTCCCGTCACATTTTGAAAACGAAATGGCTTGATTCGTGATATGGTCATTTTGAATTGCAGTCGTTCTACAAAAAAACACGTTGATTGTCTTCTGGTTATTACTTGCACTCAGCTAACCCCAAATGTCATGTCTGGTTTTTTGAAGAGTGCACGTCCAGTTGTTGCGGGTATTATAAACCAGTTTCTAGCGTTCTTTCTTAGGCTGGCGTCATTTGACTGTGTCCAAACTTTGAGTTACATTTTCTGTAGTGCCTGCAAATTAGTATCAACTTTAAACTAAGGGTCCATGAACGTCCTTGTGCTTTAAGAATATACAAATTGAAATGAATTAGACATTTACCGATGGAGGTCAGAAAGATGGCGGCTGTGAGAAGCTTCATGGTGGATCACAGGTAGACTTACACACGGCTAGACACAGCAGTAAACCTGCATAGTACCAACGAGCATGAATGCGGCCATGCGGGAGAGCAGTTGTCAGAGACATTTGTTAATTACATGTATGTAAAACCCCGGTGGTTAACCATGGACACTATAAACACTTGAACGTTAATGCCTTCTCTTGAATTTTTGATTTTGTGGCGGCCAGGAGACCGGGGAAAAAAGCTGGCTACCCTTTTCCCCCCACACCCATTACAATTGTATGGCGAGCCCTTGAGCGAACTTTTTAAGGGCGAACAATGCGTGACCAAAGTGTGGTGTTCTAAAACGGACAGGCACACGTCGTACTTCAACTTCCAAACGTCGTGGTTCAACTTTTCAAGCGTCGTACTTCAATTTTGCAAACGTATACATGTACTTAATGGTTCAACTTTCCGTTGAGATGTTTTCTCTGTAGCAAAGTACAATGTACATGACCTACGGCGTACCTTTCTACCTTTCAACATAGGCACATGTACACGCCCACACAGTACAAGTACATACGGCGGTTAGCTGTATCGCATCGTGGGCTTACCCTTTTCGTCAATTGGTGGTAAATAGGCCATTAACACCATTGTACAGTTCTAAAAGTTTTGTAAAATTATAATGCACTTTTACTAAAACATTAGCATATTTGCAGTACAATTTTGCGTACAGGTATACGGACAAGACAAGTGGCGCATCAGCTGCTATAGTGCTAATACTAAATACTATATGATGGTGTTAGGCCTACTTACCAGCATTTGACGAAAACAGGCGCGGATCCAGAGGGGGGAGGGATGTCCATAAGTTGTTATGTTAATGCGCCAAGTTTCATAAATTTTCGTCACTCAATCGCCGAGATCTGAGGGAGGGTGCCCCCGGATGTGACATGGTCAAAATAACCATGCTCCTTTAGGGTTAAAGGACCAACATAATTATTTCCATTGGGGTGGGTGACCGGGGGCGACCGGGGTCGACGATTTTTTTTTATGGAGCCCTACGCCCCCCCCCCCCTCCCTCCACCCCTTGGCTACGCCGCTGGTTATTAGGCTCGGTAAATTTGAAATGTAACTAATAGGATCTTGTCGTTTTGAGACATTGAACATTGCACAAGCTGCCTCAACGCCCATAAAGTAAAATGCCCCAAATGGGAGCAGTGATACGGTTGATGGAAGGCAAGCGAAGACAGAATAAAAGTCACCAAAATTATGAATGAAAACAAATGATAATTGGAGTCATCCTTAAAGCTACTGAATTAATTATTCCAATTTGCTAGCATTATAGTCTCATTCTTGCGTTACAGGTGACTATCAGGTACCTACCTTATAAATCGTGGCGATCAGTCCGTATAAAGAACCGTTTGCTCTGACGACTCCCAAACTGCACTACGTGCAACAATGCAGGGTACTTTCTTTTAACGTCCTTATGCCTAGAATTTATACGATTCTATATGACGTCATCGCAAGTTCACTATGTGGAATTTTACAAATTATATTATCCAAATTGGGTGATTATTAACCTGTGTTTCTTTTTTTTAATTATTGAATGGCCAGGGCATGGTCCAATATCGGTATAAACAAGAATATAAAAGGTTCAACTTCAATGCCTTACCGGGCAACAACCAAAAGGAAAACGGAACCACGAGTTACTTTTAAGACTTGGCGTTTGATGCTAATCAGTGACCTAGTTGCCCGTACCCCTAAAAGTTCAATCTTCTTGACTTTCCACCTCCTATGACTACAATGTTAGTGGTCGAAAGTTAAGAAGATTGAACTTTGAACTTTGATTAGTGCACTAATCAAACAAACTAAAGCATTCAGTCCCGTGATAGTGACCGAGATTTTAGTCAACTTTCCAGTTTCTTTACGTGACCGTCAATACAGGTGTATGACAGTGGATACAATGACCGTTAACAACCAGGGAGTTATTAGTCATTTGCGAGGCAAATAGATGAGATTCGTTATTCTAGCCTTGGAACTTATTTGTACCCTAAGCCGATTTTTGTGAAACGTTTGTTTGAGAAAGGAACATACTCATTGCTTATCTCATGCTAAAATTATTATCAATTCAAATTTGAAAATTGATTCCTCAGGATGCCACATCTTCAACTTTAATAAAAATATAAAAAAATAAAAAAGCCTAATAGGAGAAGTGCACACGGATGTTTTACTTTTTGCCTGCAGTCAACATACCGACTTTGGTTTTCCTCACCACGCTACAAGCACACTTCACAAAATCCGAGGGCGACTTTAAAGGGTCCATAAGGTACAACTTTCTACTCCTCTTAAATGTAAGAAAACTATTTGTTCTTCCCGTTTGCTTAACTTTAATGAAAAGAGCACGGCTTTAAACTCTAAATATCTTCCATGCTTATCCAGAAAACTGAGGGCGCTGTCGCTGTGATGTCATTTCAGGAATATACTGTTCATTTTAGGGTGCTCAAATTGTGTTTAGGGTGCTCAAATTGTGAACCCAACCTTATAAATCGTGGTGATCAGTCCATATAAAGAACCGTTTGCTCTGACGACTCCCAAACTGCACTACGTGCAACAATGCAGGGTACTTTCTTTTAACGTCCTTATGCCTAGAATTTATACGATTCTATATGACGTCATCGCGGGTTCACTATGTGGAATTTTACAAATTATATTATCCAAATTGGGTAATTATTAACCTGGGTTTCTTTTTTTTATTATTATTGAATGGCCAGGGCATGGTCCAATATCGGTATAAACAAGAATAGAAAAGGGTCAATTTCAATGCCTTATCGGGCAACAACCAAAAGGCAAACGGAACCACGAGTTACATTTAAGACTTGGCGTTTGATGCTAATCAGTGACCTAGTTGCCCGAACCCCTAAAAGTTCAATCTTCTTGACTTTCGACCTCCTTTGACCACAGTGTTAGTGGTCGAAAGTTAAGAAGCTTGCATTGTGGTCATAGGAGGTCGACAGTCAAGAAGATTGAACTTTGAACTTTGATTAGTGCACTAATCAAACAAACTAAAGCATTCAGTCCCGTGATAGTGACCGAGATTTTAGTCAACTTTCCAGTTTCTTTACGTGACCGTCAATACAGGTGTATGACAGTGGATACAATGACCGTTAACAACCAGGGAGTTATTAGTCATTTGCGAGGCAAATAGATGAGATTCGTTATTCCAGCCTTGGAACTTATTTTTACCCTAAGCCGATTTTTGTGAAACGTTTGTTTGAGAAAGGAATATACTCATTGCTTATCTCATGCTAAAATTATTATCAATTCAAATTTGAAAACTGATTCCTCAGGATGCCACATCCTCAACTTTAATAAAAAAAAAAAATTTTAAAGCCTAATAGGAGAAGTGCACACGGATGTTTTACTTTTTGCCTGCAGTCAACATACCGACTTTGGTTTTCCTCACAACGCTACAAGCACACTTCCACAAAATCCGAGGGCGACTTTAAAGGGTCCATAAGGTGCAACTTTCTACTCCTCTTAAATGTAAGAAAACTATTTGTTCTTCCCGTTTGCTTAATTTTATTGAAAAGAGCCCGGCTTTAAACTTTAAATATTTTCCATGCTTATCCAGACAACTGAGGGCGCTGTCGCTGTGATGTCATTTCAGGAAGATACTGTTCAATTTATGGTGTTCAAATTGTGAACCCAACAATTTGTTCATTGAAAACATTTGAGAAAAGTTTGCTCATTAACTGGCACAACAACGAATCACCAACAAAAAGAAAATGTACAACAAAATGTTCTGAAGTCTGTTACAAGTTGGAGCAAATAGATGTGTAACATTGAGGTTTCTCCCTACAATGACATCACACACAAAATATACTGTGACTACACATTACACTTGGTGGTAAAAATTAAAATCAATATTATGAGCATCAGTATTCCTCGGATTGTAACGTTTATACTTTGTTTCTTTATCCGTATTTGTATCTGTTAGCTTCTGTACAAACGCCAGGTGTGGCTATCCCCCCATCCCGTTTTGTTACATTCATTATCAAAATAATTACATTAAAACTTAAATTTTAAATGGTCAATTGAAACAAGTTACGTTTTGCTTCAACTCCGCAGACGTCGTGGCTTTTGGTAGAGCGTAATTTAGTCCCCGAGCGTCGGGTCTGGTTAGGTGTTACGTGTTCGGATTAATGGATGGGAATGCATCAATCGGGCATAAGCTGTGATGACGTAACGACGGAGGCGGAGTCACTTGGAACCGTCCACTTTTTGGTGGGTACTAGAGTGGCATTGTTGTGTTCGGGAACGTTCAATCTGCTCAGTTTCTATTGTGTTTTCTACCCCTAAGAAACCCTGTCCGTGTACACACATAATTTAGGCCTGCAGCCACCATCAGATTTTACATTTTTCTCTCATTTTATTTTCAACCAATAATTATTTTAGATAATGTTGAACATGACAAAGTGCTCCGTGTAGTGGTCTTTTCTTTATCTGCTCCTTATGGTATTTTCTTTTCATCTTTCTATAAGTTTATCTATCATCACTCAGGTTTTCGTTCTATTTTAATCCAGAGTTATCGACTGTTTTCAGAGAACTTATGAAAGCTCTCAGATGTTGTATGGTTGCTGTAAATATATAAATATGAAGAACTTAACTATCATATCATTTCTATACGCTATTTCCAAGACGTCATAGTAAATACCTCAGTCTTGACTGAATAAACTATCATACTATTTATATACGCTATTTTCAAGACTTCATAGTATAAACCTCAGTCTTGACTCAATGAACTAACAGGTCATGTTACAAACATTAACTCAAAAAGCGCCATTTCTGAGTATGATTTCGCAGTCTGTTTTATCGTTATCAAAACTGCTTGCTTAACTAACTATGAAACTGAATTAAAGCCATGTTGGTATTCCAACTGCGCATGCCACAATATGACAGTTATGATGGAAGAAAAGTTCGCCACACGCGTGCGTAGGCCTAATCATCGTGGAGTTATGGAAATGAAGACAATTTCTTGTTCCAATGCAAGTACACTGAAATTTTGTTAACTTTCACCCGCGTGCGAACAACATTTACATGTAATTATTTTGTTGCATGTAGGCCTTAACGCTGTAAATTGCAGAAACAGCATGTTTCTATTTCGATATGGACTTGTGTACAAATGTAAACTACTGTGCTTTTGCCTACACAAAAACATTCTGGTCAAACTAGGTCAAATCCTAATTTGACTTATTAATTAAGACCAAATCTTGACGTGTACTTGAGCATTTGGAATACCGAAATATACCAATAGCGTGTTTGACTCTTTAAGGATATCAAACGTATGATGAAACGAGAAAAATAGGCGGCTCTGATCCAATTAAGTTAGTTCCCTTGGATGAGGGGGGCACACCGGTAAATAGTCCTAAACCCACCCGCCGAGCTCATGAATAAAAGTTATACCCTCAAAGTATTCTACATTAGAGAGTTCAATCTGAGAGCTATAAAATTGGGGAATTGAAGTGATCCTCTTGCCCGGACTTGGAGCTTCCAATTCTGAGCATATTTGACACATGGGCTCGAAGGTGTCGCTATTTTGCCATGTTGTGGATGGAGGGATCGTTTTTCACGATGGTTACTTGTCCGCTTTGGGGAAAATACGGTTCGTCTTCTTTGGGTGAGGACTTCTCGAAAAATCAATGGTCAACCCACCAGATAATGAAAAAAAAATGAAAGATGACATATTGATCATCATTTTTCTGTGCAGCTTAAATACCTGTGAGAGTTGTGAGTAATTTTAAAAGAATTTTGAAGTATAGACATTTAGCACCGGTGTCTATGGGAATTTTAATACAGTGGTGCATCCTGAGAGGAGTGAGCCACTGAAAGGGCGCCCTCTGTAGTCTCACCATACGCCTCAAGACATAAATAATCATCACAACGTCTGCATAATATGAACACTATACTTATTGGACTGGACTTGGCTGTACGCAGATTGGCCTTTTTCCGCCAACACCGTGAATCCCCCCCCACCCCACCCCACCTTCAAAAACACGTGCTCTTGATGGAAGACGCTACCTGAAAAAAAGATTACAAATAGGCCTAAATAAACAATACAACATAAACAATAAAAACAAAAAGGCATTAAACAAAATAAGGAATAATAAACAATTTTTTTAAAACCCACAGCACAATACGGAGCCCATAAAGGGACTTTCAATAAATATATTTTTTTTTATCTCCTGCGCACGAGATATCTCGTGAATCATTTCGTGCGCACATTCACGAGATAATAATTTCGTGCGCACGATATATATCGTGCGCACGAAATAATTGTTTCGCGCTCGCGAAATAAAACAAAACATTGAATGTCCCTTTAGGGGCTCCGTAGCAAAGAAACCTTTGGGAAACAAATGTGGCGGATAATTGCTTCACTGTACAGGCGCATTCATTGTCAACCAGTCCGGTCAATTA